TGTGTCTGTGTTCCCGGTGCAGATAACTAGGGCTGGGTTCTTAGCAGTCCTGAGCCCCCACTCCCTCCCCGCTCCAACTCCTCTCCTCCCACCAGTCATCTGGGGTGGGGTGAGGAGGCACTTGGGTCCCGCTGGACTGTGGCTTTTATCTTACCCCCTTCATGATGTGCTGAGTTCTCGCAGATGTAAATGTAGCCTGGCTGTTGTACTATATCTTCCGGCCTCTCTTTTAGGAATAGTTGTATTTGTTGTATTTTCAAAAATGTATATGGTTTTGGGAGGAGATTTCCGCTGCCCTACTCACATGGCCATCTTAGCTCCTCCTCTGGCTCTACCTTTTTACCCTTCCTAATGTGGTCTTCTCTTCTTCACCTGTATGTATGGTCTGTTCTGAAGTCTTCAAGACATTTTCAGGGTTAGTTTGATTTGCTGAAGTTGTTTCCTTGGTGTGCATGTGGGAGGACATTTTCACCTTGCCTTCTTACTCTGCCATCTTTTCCTTGCTCCCACAGTTAAATTTCTCAGTGTGATGATTGCATTAAGATTTTGTAGCAGACTATCTCTTTTATTAAGAGATACATGCCAAAACATATCTGTAATGTCTTCAAGTAACTCAAATGATTCAACAAAACAATTTTAAAAAGCAAAAGGAGAGAATATGGCAAATGTGCAAAATGTTAATAATGGGCAAATCTAGGTGAAGGATAAGTGGGTGATCCTTGCAATTTTCTTGCAACTATCCGTGGCAGAAGCATTTATAAGTAAAAAATTGGGGGAAAAAGAGGGTATTATGGACCATTTTTCTCCAATCACTTTGAAAACTTGAGAAAGGTAACTCATCTGTAAAAAAAAAAAATTTCCAAAAACTGACTGAAGGAGGAACAACCAACATGAGGTGTTCCATACCCACAAGGAAATACATCAGTACTCAGAACGCTTTTCACAAAAAACCCCAGGCTCCTCTACTTAATACGGACAAGCATCCTAGGCAAAAATATTTTTAACTTGACATGAACTTTGAGGAAAAACAGAAAAGGAGGGACACTCTCCAACTCATTTTGTGAGGATGGAATAACTTGACACTATATCCTGTCAAGGACAGTTTGGGAAACAGAAATTGTGGGTCAGTCACATGCTCTTGACATAGAAGCAAGGGTCAGAAACAGAATATTAGCAAACTGAATCTTATAGGATATAAGAAGGAAAAAGCATAATGTGCCATGACTAAATTTGATTCATCCCAGGAATACAACCCTGAGTTAACTTCAGAAAATAAGGTAAGGTAATATAATATTCCACATTAACTGATTGCAGGAGAAAATTATGATCCTCATATTCAGAGAAAAACACTTAATAGCATCAATATCCACTTGTGACATACTTTATTACATCTTTTTTTAAAGGTGTTAAAGATGCGGTATGAGTCTTTATGAACTCATACTGTTAGGGGATCACTACCAGAATCAAATATAACCCATTTTCATCACCATAAAAATTCCTTCTGGTAGTTAAACCCCTTCTCTCAACCCCCAGATCCTGGCAACCACCGATCTGCTTTTCTGTCCCTGTAGTTTTGCCTTTCCAAGAATGTCACATAAGTGGAAGCAAGTAGTGTGTAGACTTTTGCATTTGGCTTCCTTCACAGGCAGGGACACAGATGGCACTTCTGGAGGTGCAATGTACCATGACTTCTCCCAAGCAGTAGCTACATGGCTCGATCACTTCATAATTATTTGTCAAATTGTAGGTATATGTTTTCTGTAATTATGTACATGTATACAGTGCTTTATAGATATAATTAATGCTTAATTTCAGGTAATTTTTCTTTCACATCTTTATAAGGGCTATGCATTAAATAGCAATTGTTATCCTTTATAAAAGTCCTAAAAATCCTAAGAAGTCAGGATGGCACTTACCTTGGGAGGACTGGGGAGGATAAGTGATTGGCTTTGGCATAAAAAGGGTCCCAAAGGTACTGGCATGTTCTCTAAATTTGAGTGGTGCTTACCAGGGCTTCTACGTCACACAAAAGCAGGGGCACCACGCACCCTGTAGTCGTGCCAATGGTGCCTCCAGGAGTCAGGCAGGTAGCGTTCACACGGTCACCCTGGCAGCCCGAGTGTGCCTGGCTGGACCTGGCAAACTTGGGCGAGAGTATCCTCATTCTAAGTCAGCTGAGAGGCAATTGTAATTACATCTGCGACCTTAAGCCCCCATTGCCACGCAAGGTAACATGTTAGCCGATTCCAGGAATTAGGATGTGGACATCCTTGGGGACCATTACTCTGCCTACCACACCCTGCTCCCTCTCTAGTGCTCACCTCCTCCTACCTTCCCTGGGTTTGCCAATCCCCCCCAAGAGTCCAGAGAGAGTGGTTTGGCCACTCCTGGTGGTGGTGCTGGTGGCAGTGGGGGTAATGGAGAGGGGCATCTGCCCAGGAGCTGGGTAGGTAGCAGGATGGGGAAGGATGGGGCCTAGGGCTCTCCAGGTGAGCCCCACTGCCTCCTTGGCTAGACAGGAGGCTTGAGGGGAAGGCAACAGCAACACATTGTATTAGGATAGGGGTCTGACAGCCTCATTTCCCCTGGGACCCAGATGTATTTCTTTGATCTATGGGCCAGAATTGGCCACTTATGAATACCCCCTGGACCTGCAAGGCCCTAGCTGGTAGCCTGTGATGTACACTGTTATAGCAATACTATTGTGCTGTAGTTGGTGTGAATATGGAACAGAGAGACCATGTGCTCAGAGGAGGGAAGGGAGCCTGGCAAAACTAGTCACTGGGGTTGTGTTCATGTTCTCCCACGACTCCCTCAATGTGCTTCTCCTCATCCTCACCCTTGGTGACCATGCCCCTCACCTCCTGGAGCAGTGTCTGTGCTGGACTTCTGCCCATTCATAACTTGCCTGCATGTCTGGCTGGTTGGAAACCCCAGTTGGAAAGTCTCTGCCAAACTCATTCACTCAGACAGCAGCACACTGTTACCCTAACAAGAAATTACCACTGTCGGGTTGGGGTCAAATCTGTAGCCTAAGCAATCCAGCTCACCTTCACAAGTGAGGGTTTAGAAGTGGAAGCATTGAGTCCCACCAACGTTATTCTGCACCCCTGAGGTCCATGGCTGTCCCATTTGGGACGTGGGGGTCTGTCACCTGAGCTCTGGCCATGGGCCTGCAAGAGAGACAGGGTGAGTGTGGGGGACAGTGGACTGAGTCTGCCCCATTTCCAGGAGAAGACACCCTACTGCCCATCTGCGCTGTGCCCTCCCGCCTGTGTCCTGGCTAGCTCAACTGGGGCAGTCTCCTATGTGAGCTCCCTGCTTCTTAGATGAGGGGTGTCCCAGCTACTCTGATGAAGTCGACCTTCCCACTCTCACTCCATCGACACACACAAGAGATGTCAGATACCGCAGGATCACAGACTAGGATCCAGAGCCTCCTCCAAAGACTCCAGCATTCTGAGTGTTCCGACATGCCATAGTGCAGTTTGGCAACTTCCCTGTCATTCCCCTCCTGTGCTTTAGGGATTTAACAACACCCCCCGAAACATAGACCCAACCCTTGCTCTTGCTCACTCCATCCTTTCTGGATTCTTGACCAGTCTCCACTCCCCTTATTCTGCAGTCACATCTTTCCCCTTCAAAGGAGATTATCCCCAAACACTATCATTCACAACCACAGGCGCACACATGCCAACCATGAATGTTCCATTCCCCATCATCCCTCCATTTATATATTAAACCCCAGTCACTCAGCAACCCGGTACCCTCCATCACTCGGTACCCTCTTGTACTGAAGCCCTAGCCCTGGGTCCTGGCTGAAGGAAGGAGGTGGTCCCCAAACGCGAGCAACAGGGAAATCAAACACGGAGTTCAGATTAAGTCTCATGTGACCTAGAGAGGCCTCTGGGAGATTGAGCTGGGACACCGAAATAGCATTTCCAGGAACATCTGTGTCGTGGGTGTATTTGCCAGGGCTGTGCAAGAACACTGAGACCTATCAAGCATGCCTGCCATAGAAACTGGCCACTTTCCACTCAAGGGCATGGAGAGGACCAGGCTGGGGGAGGGCTGGTTAGCTGGCTAGGACAGGAGGGATGTGAAAATCTGGGGGCCAGATCATCCATTTCTAGCTGCTGGGTGGGCAGTTTCCCCAAGGTTGGCCCAGAACCACCACGACAGACTCCTTGCTCTGAACTCCAGCCCAGAAACCAACCTGTGCTTTCCCTGTCATGTTCCCTGTACCTCCGTTCTTGCTCTGCAAGCCCCTGGACTGTGAGTTCTGCATCCTCCCCTCTACTGAAGTCAAGGAGGGCAACCCCACGGGATCAGTAACCAAGTGTCAAAGGTGACGGCTTTGTCAAAGGAGAGGAGGACGTCACATGGGACCACGGGTAACTTATCCTGTGCATGGTGGCACCTGAGGGAGGTAAGGACTCCGCAGAGAACACTGGGCCTTGGGAGAGGGAAGATGAGGCCCACCACATTCTTTAACACCTGCTGAAGCACAGGTGCAGGGAAAGCTGCCAAAGGAAAGCCACAAGGGAGGCCAAGGGCACACGGCCAGCCAGCCAGGGTGGATGGGACAAGCAGGACCGAGATCCCAACCAGGGAGGGGAAGAGGGCTTAGAGTTCTGGAAGGGGATCTGGAGATCCTGCTGAAGGGTAGGGGTAGGAACAGCAATACCTGGGAACCCAGAGACCCAAGAGGAGGAGATCAGGAGAGAAACCAAGAGGGCCTGCAGGGGGAAGGGAGGAACTGCTCATGTGGCCAGGCAGAGCCCACACAGAGGCCAGACCCAGGGCCCTCTGGTGGCCTGACCGCAGGGCCCCTACTAGAGGCTGGCCCGGACTCCCCACAGGGAGAAGGCCACTGCACAATGCCAAAGGTGCTGTTCTGGAAAAGGCTCTGAAGTGGAGCAGCTCCCAGCCCCACCCCTCTCCCACTCCTCCCGGCCCCCAGAGACCAGACAGACCACAGAATTTGAGAGGTACTTTAATTTGAAACTGCTGTGAACTGGGGTGGGGAGGGGGCAAAAGAAGCAGGAGAGGAAGCCCCGGCTGAGGCAGAACAACAGGAGGGACCCAGCTTGGCCACAGCTCCCTTGCTCCATAGCGACCAGCTGCTCCTCTTGTACAAAGACACTGGGCTCAACCTGTGGAACAGAGCAGAGTCAGGGAAAAGCCTCGGGTCAGGGCCGGCCCACAGCCCTCCTCAACAGCCAGGGCTATGGGAAGTGGCATGGAGTGTGTAACACTCACTTCAAAGGGCCTGGAACTTGTCAACCAGGGACTGCATGGCCGCTGAAACAGAGAGAGGCCTAAGAAGGCGCTGCAGACATGGGGACAGATAAACCCATACGCCCTGTCACCCTGGGGGGCACTGACTAGCCCTGCAACCTGAAACCCCCTGCAGCCCCTGTCCACAGGGCCCAGGACTCACTCACTGACTCACTCATCCACCACCTGAATTAAATATGGACACGTTTAGTAAATGGGAGCTAAAGTGTCAGTACTTCTCAAGCTTTGGGACATATCAGAACCTCTCAGAACTTGTCATTCATACACACACACACCCCATACTAGCCATACCAAGCGGTAGGTAAAGGGAAAATCAATGGGGCATCTCTAAACGTCCTGAGAAGAGAAGATCTCATTTTTGCAAAGTGTGATGCAGTGCAGGCGATGCTTTCCCATTTGCACCCCCCACCTGCCACCCCCTGGCCAGTGAACATGCACAGCAGGCTCCAGGGCCAGGCCTGCTAGGCTCTCCTCCCCCACGGGAGTGTACCCCCAGCCCGGCCACCCTCCACCCCCTAGATTCAGCACCGAGACTCCAGTCTGCCTCCTGCCCCTGCCCCAGCCCCAGCCTGAGGTTCCTCATACCGAGTTGCTTTTTAAGCTCATCTATTTCTCTCTGTAGCACCACACACTAGGCCGGCAGACAGCAGAAAAGGAGAAATGGTTAGAATGCTCTAACCTCCTGTATCCTTGACCTCCCACCTGCCTGCCCTCCCCCCTCCCCCAGGCCCTCCATCCCGAAGCCCAGTGGCCAGACTGGCATGGGCTCCTCTGTGGAAAGGAGGTGCCTTCCCTCCGTGGGGTGCAGGACTGGGGAGGGGGAACGTCAGTTTAACCTGGACTCGGATCCCACCATCTAACTTGGGCCTGCACTCCTAGGAGCCAGAGGAAGCATTACCTGACAACATCCCTGTGCTCCAGCAGGTTGCTGCTTCCTTTCTGGTCTTGGGGAGACGTCAAGTGGTTCCTGGTCACCTGAGAGGGAAAGAACACAAAATCCAGCTTCCAAGGCTCCCAGTGAGGCAGAAAGGGCTTAGCGGCATCCAACATGAGGCAGCACCACCCTCTGCTGGCCACAAGTTGGCCCTGCTCTGCCCAGCTGCTGCAGCCTCCCCTCTGGGCGTGCCTCCCCTGTTCCTCTGGGGCAGCCCATCTGCAACTGTGCTCGCCCAGGACCCCAAGGGCTGTGGCTCTGGGTGGCACCCTCCCAGAGCTGCAGCCATGGCCAGCCCCTGGGATGAGCAACATGGCCAAACAGGACTTAACAGAAAACGCTTGGCTCCACTCAGAGTCGATGTCCAGAGGTGTACTTTATGGCACTGCCACCGATTACCCCTGCCACCCAAACCCCACGCACACGATGGCTAGCCCTGTCCACACCCCATTTCCTGTGTGAGAAGCTGCCCGGCAGGCAGGTTGTCAGGGAGCGAGGATGAGCCCCCAGCAGAGCCAGAGCTTCCCTCCTCATGCCCTCTCCCTTCCCCTCTTATCAAATCCCTCTTATCAAACCCACAAGACTCAGGCCTGCAAGAGTGCAGGCCCAAGTTAGATGGTGGGATCCGAGTCCAGGTTAAACTGACGTTCCCCCTCCCCAGTCCTGCACCCCACGGAGGGAGGGCACCTCCTTTCCACAGAGGAGCCCATGCCAGTCTGGCCACTGGGCTTCGGGATGGAGGGCCTGGGGGAGGGGGGAGGGCAGGCAGGTGGGAGGTCAAGGATACAGGAGGTTAGAGCATTCTAACCATTTCTCCTTTTCTGCTGTCTGCCGGCCTAGTGTGTGGTGCTACAGAGAGAAATAGATGAGCTTAAAAAGCAACTCGGTATGAGGAACCTCAGGCTGGGGCTGAGGCAGGGGCAAGAGGCAGACCGGAGTCTCGGTGCCGAATCTAGGGGGTGGGGGGTGCCGGCCCTCTGGGCATGATGTCTTCCTGGATCAGGGTCAAGGGCTGTGAGTTTCCTGGAACCTGGGGGGCTCTGGTGTCCAGGTTGCCAATGTGGCATTCTCCACGATGCATACACAGACAACATGGCCCTGGCCTGGGTGCTGGAGGCTATAACAAAAATTTCTCACTGGTAGGGGGCCGAGGGGGTACCTGCACGTGTGTGCTTAGGGCTGGGGTGAGTCAGGGAATGGAGAAGGAAATTCAGAGGCTGACCTCATTAGCACCTTTGTCCCTCAGTCAGCCCCAGGCCAGGAGGCAGAGCTGAGCTAGGTGAGGGAAGAGTGGGGCACTGAAAAAGCCCAGGCCCCTGGGAGGCAGGCTGGGGGAATAGCTAGGATGTAGGAATCAGGAAGGTAACAATGGGGATCTAAACACTGAACCTGTGCCTCCCAAACTCTGAAGGGGTCCCTGATCCAAATCAGCCACCAGCCCTCCCTTCCCTTCAATCCCAGCCCCCCTGGGGGAGAGGGCAGAAAACCTGCAGACAAGGGTCAGTCCGGAATGGCGCCGGCACACACAGAGCATCATCCTCCTGTCTGCCCCTACTGAAACGACCCCAATCTGGCATCCTAACGACCCAGGGTGCCTGGGGACAACCGCTGAGGGGTGGACGGTGGAGGTCAAGAGGTGGTGGTGTGGGGGTGGGGGGAGGGGTAAAGCATGGGGAGGGAGAGAGGAGCAGCAGCATGGCCTACTCACTTGGCCCTTTGGGACTGGGTCTCCATCTGGATCGTTATCTCCTCCCACCAGCAGCTCAAACTCTCGTGTCCTCCTGGCCACAGAATTCTTCCCAGCACCCCTGTGCTTGGAGTGTTTGGCAAACAAATGGACCAACGAATACCTCTTGGACTTCCCAGGCAGTGGAACCCCAGAGATTGGGGGGAAGGTGGCTGTCTCCAGGGGAGTTGCTGGGACTCTCTGGCCCCAGGAAGGAAAGGTTTTCCCCAGGGTACCTTTGGAGACATCCTCTAGGGACTTCTTCCCCTGGGCCACCTTCTTCTTAGGAGTGGCTTGGTGCAGGCCGCCTGTGCTGGCCGTGCCGACAGCAGTTCCCACTCCTGCTCCAGGGTAGCTGGGCCTGCTCCCCGCCTTCTACCAGAACACACTCTGCATTTTCTTAGCAGAAGAGATGTCCAGCTGGCCAAGAGCCTGCCTTTCCACAGCTGAAGTGAACCCTCGGGGAGCTGAGGACAGGACGGAGCCTGGCACATGAGGGAAATTCTCCCTGAGGTGTAAATTCATGCTTCTGGGTGTATCCCCGGAATCCTAGGGGCTGCTGGGCTTGGTCTGGCCTCCTTCTTTGGGGTAAAGGCTCATTCTCATCAGCTGGATCTCACCCAACTCATCTGATGAGTTGGGGTCCAAAGGCGGCCCAGTCTGGCCCTCTGCCAAGGGCCGCTGGCGACCCACATCGACCTTCCGCCTACTCTTACTGCCTCTCTTAGACAACCTCCCCCAGGCCCAGTGCTCGTGGAACTCACCCAGCTGGAGCAGGGTGGCAGAAGCTGCCTGCGATTCCACACAGCCAAGGGCAAGCGCGCCCCCACCACCGGGCCCTGACTCTGGGCCTGGCCACTTGACCGAGCCCTCAGAGGTGCAGCTCTCTGGGGATGGCTTTCTGCACCCACCTGGGGTACCCCGGTCACTCAGCTGCTGCGTGACGGCCGCCGCTACAGACTCGTCAGAGAGGTGGGACGCGTAGTGCAGAGCGTCTCTCTTGTCCTGGGCCGGGGAGCCAGGTCGGCCTTCATGGCCCCAAAGCATGGGCCCTCCCACCTCCATAACTTCCCGCTCAGACTCGAAGCCCTGGGGGTCCAGGAACCCACCCTTGCCGCTGCAGGGCGCCCCCCTTTCTAGGTCTAGCGCCAGTCCCCACGGGGCTCCGGGATCTGTGGAGTGGACGCCGGCCTGCTTCCCACCCTCTGAGCCGAAACTGCCCCACACGCAGACATTTTGTTGGGAAGCTCATGCTGCGCATTTGCGCAGGCCCGGCTCCCAGGCAACGACCTCCAAGGTCACTGCCCCTGCGATAGTGGCAAGGCTCTGAGTGTGTGGGTGCCTCATGAGATTGCATCAAACCTTGCGNTAGCCGATAGGGCCGGGGCGTTTGCTCCATGAACAAACAAGCCCTTGGTCCCTCTGGACTGGAGTCGGCGGGTCACGTCTCTCGTCCCACCTCTTCCAAGTTCGGCTTCGCCTGGTTGGGAACCTACGTCCCAATTTCCAATCAGGAGCTGAGCTCTGAGCGTCCGTTTCCCATCCCCAAAGCCGGGCAATGATGGCACCTGTTAGTGAGGCTTGGCGGCATGAAACATCACGATGGAGGTGAAGCACCTGGCGCAGAGGGGTGCTGCCAGCCGCCATTCCACACCGAGACTTACCATGACCTGATAGGAAAATGGGCACAGGCAGCCAGCAGTGATCAGGGCTCGGCTCACTCTTCCCATAAAGGGCCAGAGGGCAAATGCTGTCATGATTATGGGCGGTACGGCCGCTGTCGCAGGAACTGCGAGTGACGGTTGCTATAGGTGTTACATGTGGCCTGTGACTGTGTGCTCAGCAAACTTTACTGGCAGGCCTGTTGGGCAGACAGGCTGGGGTTTGCCCCCCTCCCTCCCTGAGCCCCTGCCCCACTCCAAGTCAGTTCAAAGGAGAGGCAATTCCGATGGCCAGTGCACACCCCAGAAGATGCTCACCATCACTAATCCTGCAGGTACGAGCTAAAACCACCAATCAGTTGTCCGGCACCAGGTTTCAACCCTCGAAGAACATAACCATTCCAAGGGTGGGAGGGTTGTGACCAGTCTCATGCTTTTACCCTCTGCTGGGGGGACCGTGGTGCCGGGGGGTGGGGTGGGGGGAGGGGTTGGTGGTGGTGGTGGTGATGGTTGTGGTGGCTGCGGCAGCAGCAGTGCAGAGGCGTCATCTGGAGAGGGGAGATGGGTAATTTGGCAGAATGAATGGAAAGCAACTTCTACCACAAGTTGTGTGTGCCTGGTGCTCTTCTAAGTGCTGTGGGCAAGAACGAACACATGCTCACGACAGTCCAAGGATTGAAGTACCCCCATATTAGTGCCCTCAGGTGAGGCACTGATGACAGGTTCAGCCACTGGCCCAAGGTCACTGGGTTTGTTGGGATCTACTACAGGTCAGAAACCATGCAGTCGGGCTCCAGAGATCTGCTCTGGGCCTAGAATCTTTAGCCTGGGAAACGTGCATTCCCGCTGTGACCGGCTCAGGCCGCTGCCAGGCCTGGTACATTTTCCAGAGACAGGCCAGTATGTGTGCTTGGTGTATGAGGGACACATGCACAAGGGTGTTGGTTGCAGAAACTGGGAATGCTCTGAGTTCCCATCAGTAAGGAGAGGGATGAGTGCAACGTGGCCTGTGTATCCAGTAGATTAAAGCTCAGCAGTCAGAAGGGACGCATGAGGCTGTGTTCACAGATTGCAGAGGCATCCTCGTGAGTGCATAGAGCAAAGCTGCAGAACAAGGCCGTTGGACGCACGTTTGTAAATTATAAAAGAAAGAAAAAGAAACCAAGTCAACCCTGCATAATGTTTGAGAACACATACAGGTGTGTGTACAGGTATGTTTGAAAGGTCTGGGAGGAAACACAGCCAATGGGGGACAGTGGTGGTGGCCGTGGCAGTGGCAGTGGGGTGCCAGTTACCCTCTCAGACTTCCCTGACACTACTGCTTCCCAGCATCCATGAGCTGAGCAGTCCTGGTATCTGGAGTGTGGTCCCTGCTCCCTTGACTTCTCTAAGGCCCCCCAGTATTAGAATTTCCCTTGCTTGACACTCAATCCCTGGTCCAACAGCCCTGCTTTCCTCCAACACCTTTCTTCCTCCCTTTCCCATCCGTACTCCTCTGTCTTCCTGTCACCTTTCCCTCCTGCATCCTACTCTGGCTGACCTACAAGGGAGGCCTGGGGTGCCTCAACACCTGTTGCCTGCAGGAACTCAAAGGCCTGATTTCTCTGGGTCTGCCCTTGAGAAGCCTGCCATGCTGGAGCAGGTTACAAAGCAGGGGATATTCAATCCACTCCAACTCTGCAGTCAGCCTCATGGAGTGTGCCCCAGCCCCAACACTGCATCCCTGCCATGTCTGGAGATTGCTCTCTCCCACTTCACCCAGTGACTCTTCAAGTCATGGTGTGTGCTATCTCAGGTATGCTAAAGTAGATAATGAAGGGTCCAGCAAAATCTCCTATGCCAAGCGCCATCCTAGGACACATAACCGATGGATCCATTCGAAGCCCCTGATTCCCCTCTGGCCATTTCCATTCCATCCCTGTCTCTGTCCCTGTAGAGAGAATCCTAGACCTTTTCCACATGTTCTACACTCGCTTCATCCCTGCTGCTCTCTTACTTCCTCTTCCCCTGCATCCCACAGGTGCCCAATGGCATCAGAATCTCTTTTAAACACCCCACCCACCCTCACCAGGATCCCATAGCGGTTTGACTTACTATCTTGGCCTGGGGCAGGGGCCAGCGTCAGAGGATCCTCTTGGCCTTCCCCAGCACAATAGCTCTTGCCCTGCAGACCAGTGACCCAATGTGGGGGTTATTGTTCCAACTGCCAAGTGTCAACTCGTGAGCTGGAGCAATGACCACTGTGTTGGCCCAGGGACCCAGCTGACTCAGTGGGAACTGATCACTATCTCCAACACTTTAAATTACTAGGGCCTCATAAGCCCTACTCATCGTGATACTTTGGGCCTCCAGAACAAATGTCAGTTCAAACCTTGTATCCTGTAGTTCTTCAAATGTTGGGGTATTCCTCCTTCCCCAGCCTACAGTCACCTGAGAAATGGCAGTCATTCTCTGTGGAGAAAGATAGTGGCATCATAACAGCATATATACTAACCACCTTGCTTCTGAATCCTTCCTCCTCGGGACCCATCCACCTCTTCAGTCAGTGGGGCCAGTCTCAAAATTGGCTCAGGGCCAGGAACTGTGCAAGAGGTTGTGACTTTCTACTGGGACAGCCACCATCCTTCTCCTGCATTCTTGCGTTTCTCTGGTTATAGTTGCCCCTAGGGAGCCAGGCTGCCTGAACCATCTTCTCAGCTCCCTGCCCATCAAGCGCTCTTGACTGCCCTTCTAACCTTGCCAGTTGTTCCTGGAAATGTGCTCCCCTGGCAACTCTTGGTTAAGAGCCGCCCTCTGTCCTCAGTTACATTAGACAGTAGTGAGCCCAGGCGGGGACCGCTTTCCTTCCATCACCCGCACTGGCTTGCAGAGAGCAGCCACCAAACTTTTAGTGATGCAGGGTCCCCTCTCACCAGAACGCCCCTGATGGCTTTGGTGAATGGTGTGAGCTATTGGCCCTCCTGTGGAACATAACCTTCAGGCCATGTGATTGGCCTCACACTTTCTCTCCAATCCTGCATCACTCAACCTTTTTGTTCTTTCCTCTACTATTTGCCAGTCCAAGGCAGGCATTGCCACTTCTCCCCATGGAGCCCATTGCTTTCTTAAAACTCCTAAGGGCTGCTCTGGCAGTGAATTTCCTCCCTTTCCTGGACTCCTTGCCAGTGTGTGAAGTCCCGCCACACAAGACAGTGCCCCCGCTCAGGAAAACTTGGTTATCCAGTCTTACATTTCAGTCCCCTTGATCCAGCAACCCTAAAATCCCATCCTGGGGATTGTCCCCTGCCCCTGCCAGTGCAGGCTGGCTATCTCTTGCAACTCCTTTGGCATACCATTTCTTTCCTCCCTATCAGGCTTGGCATATCCCCACTGAGGTGATGGAGAGGAAACGGGGTCCTCCCCTGGGTGGCGTACCTGTGGCTTTGTGAGGAGGAGACTCTGTAGCACCTACCAGCGTGGGGCATGTGCTAGCTCTTGCTAGGGAAGGAAGGGCCACACTGCAAGCTCTGAGGCCCTGGAACAAAGGAATCACTTGTTTTATGAGAACATATCTATATAATACAGAAGATGGTAGTCACAGAGGAATAGAGGAGCAAAAAGAAATGAGAAATGCATAACACTCATAGCAAAATAACATATGCAAATCTACCCATATTATGAATGTGTTAAAGACTCAAAGAAGTAGGTAAAGGTTGTCTACTTGATAAAAGACCCAGATTCGACTAACGCTTTTGACAGGGGATATAATTTAGATTTAATGACCTGAATCCATTGAGAGTGGAATGATAGAGGAAACACATTAAGAATTCAGTAAGCAAGTGTGTGTTGTAGTGAGTATAATAGTATTCAACAAAATAGATTTTTATGGGAGAATGTGTAACTAGTGACAAAATTGGACATTTTATAATGATAAAAGGATCCATTGCAGGGAAATATAAGAATTTTAAATTTCTATGTATGTAAAAAGAGAACCTCACAATATGTACAACACAATTTGACAATATTGATTGGAGAAATAGCACCTTCAACAGTAGTATTTGGAGGCTTTGGTACTCCACTCTCCATAATTGATAGAAGAACTAGACAGAAAATTAGCAAGGATCTAGAAGCTGCACAACAGTCTCTATTAATTTGAGTGAAGTGACATCTTTAAAACAGTGCACTTAATAACAGTGGAATTCACACTTATTTCAAGTCCACATAATCACTTGCCTAGGTAGACTGTATTGAGGGCCTTGAAACTAGTCCTAATAACTTTGAAAGGATCTCAGTTATGCAAAGGATTTAGCCCAATGGTAGTAGAGATCTATGAGAAATGGCAGTTCCACTTAAGAGGGCTTCATAGAAGGTAGTGATCTTAAGGAACAGCCAGTTTTCAGTTAAGCAAGAAGATGAGGGGAACATCTAGCGATGTTGAGGATATTGGATACTTGCTGATTATGGGCCATCTTCACTGTCACCTGATGTTGACCTTGCTTCCCATTTCCCTGAGACTATAAGGCAACTAGTAGAAAGCTCCCCATTTTCCCCATAACTGTTTTTCTCTATTTGGGATAATTTGTATCAGCATATAGTCATGTCACTTCTCCTAACTTATAAACACTCTTCTGAACCCATGGTCCCTTTGAGCTACACCACATTTCTCAGCTCAGCTTTACAGAAAAAAAGAGTTGTGTTTACACACTGTATCATATTCCCCTTCTCCCATTCACTCTTCCTGTTTCTGTTTTTCATTTAACAAATCTTTATTGAATGCTTACCATGTGCTAGGTACTGTTCTAAGAACTAGGACTAGGACTACATGAGTGAACAAGACAAACTAAATTCCTGCCCTAATGGAACTTAAATTTCCATCATAGACCTATCAGCAATATTTTTCACATCTTCAAGTATCTTCATTCTATTTTTTTGGAGAACATTTTCTCAGACCATGTGCCAATCTTTATTCGTTGCTAAGGATGCTGCATGAATATAGAACATTCCTTT